ACTGCTCTGCCCGTTGGCCTCTCCCCGCAGACGTTCCTGGACGACAGCGGCTCCTTGACCTGGGAGATCTACTACTGGATCGGGCACGAAGCCACGCTGGACAAGAAGGCCAGCGCGGCCATCCACGCCGTCAACCTGCGCAACTACCTGGGGGCCCAGTGCCGCACCATCCGGGAGGAGATGGGGGACGAGAGCGAGGAGTTCATCCAGGTACCTCCCCCCTCGACCGCCCTGACCACCCTCCCTCCCTGCCTTCCTCCTCCTCCTCCTCCTCCTCCACCCACACCCCCACCCTCTCTGCAGCTGCCAGCTCCTCCACACAACCCCATACAGACCAATCCACCCCGTACAGACCCCCCCCTTCCTTCCCCAGCTGTCCCAGGACTGGAGAACTGAGCAGTCCCCTGCAGCCAGTCCTCGCCCTGCCGGGAGGGAGGCAGAGAAGCCTTTTGCTGCGAGCCAGCCGGCTCCTAGCTGATCCCTTGTCCCCACCCCTAGGTGTTCGACCACGAGATCTCCTACATTGAGGGGGGCTCGGCCAGCGGCTTCTACACCGTCGAGGATGCGCAGTACATCACCAGGTAGGGTGCCGCAGGGGAACCGGGGGGTGCACTACTGGCCACAGCCACCCTCTGCGGTGCTGCGACTACATAGCGTGCAGGCACAGAGAAGCCGCCTGACCAGAGCAGAGCCACGGCCCGTCAGGTCTCTGGGCCCAGTCCGTCTCCGCACCCATCCACGGGAGCCCGACCATTGTCCTCAATGGGAGCTGGTTTGGGCACTCCGGTCCTGGACACATGTCCACAGGACGAGCTTCTCCAGGCCCTCTCTGTTCCCCTAGAGCAGGAGGCCTCATGAATAAAGCGGCTGTTACCATGGGTGCCCGTGACCCACGGAAAGGTCTAAACCCGGCTGGAATCCGACAGAGCGCTTGGGGTGTTCTGTTATCCTGTGGCAGAGAGTTCCAGAGGCCAGGCCACCCCTCGATCCATTCTGAGCCCGTTGCTGCCCAGTCCTGTGGGGCGCAGTGTCCCCCTCGTGCCCCTATGGGGGCAGGTTCTCCTCAGGCGGTGGGCTCTCTTGTGACTTCCCCCCCTTCCCCCCCGCGTACTGCGTGTCTTTGCAGGCTGTATCGCGTCTATGGGAAGAAGAATATTAAGCTGGAGCCCGTGACGCTTAAGGCTGCTTCGCTGGACCCCCGGTGAGTGCGGAGGGGGATTGGGACGCTCTGCAGACCCGCGGCACCCAAGTCCGTGCCTCTCGTGCGGTGGGGCAGGGGGACTGGCCTGCCGGGATAGGCGTGGGGACCTGCAGACCCCCGTCCGGCAGCAGAAGCTGCAGGGATCGTAGTGATTCAACTCGTCTGGACCGGAGCCTGCAGTGTTAACGCCGGGGCGGCAGGCGGGAACGCCGCGTCGGGCCCCGCGTGCATCGGCAGAGGCTCTCGTCACCGCCCTGGGTTGGGACTCGGGATATTCGGCTCCATTCCCTGCTCTGAACAGGCTCCCCGGGCGACCGCGGGCGAGGAACGCGGCCTGTCCCGTCTGGGCAGTGGGGCTGCGAGCCCTGCCCTGCCTCCCGCGGGCTCAGGGGTAAACGCCTTCGTTGCCACGAGGGGCTCGGGTGCTGCGATGATGGCGCAGACCCCTCCAGAGCTCGAATTGCCCGCCCCTGCCGGCAAACCAAGTCATTGCTGTGCGTGTTGGCAGCCACTGGGCCAGTAGCTCTCTCCTGTCCCCGCTCTCCCAAGCAGCTGCCAGCTGGGGGGGGAGGGGGGGTGTTTCTGCCACTGAGTTCCCATCACAGCTCTTGGATTCAGCCATGCACCACGCTGACCCCTCTTCTCTGCCCGCCCCCCCCGGCTTCAGGTTCGTCTTCCTCCTGGACAATGGCCTTGAGATCTCCGTGTGGAGGGGGAGCCAGGCCACGCTGAGCAGCACCACCAAAGCCAGGTAGCGTCCGCAGAGGGGCAGCCGGGAGGGGGCATGGCAGGGCCGGAGCCAGCGGGCGCTGACACTAGGGGGCGCCGAGGGCGCTCTGCCCCCTTCCGCTGCTCCCGCTCCAGCAGCACCCGTGATTGCCACACATGCCAGCCGGGCGCTCGCCGGGCCCGCCGGGTAAAGCCTGCTCCAAAGCCCGGGAGGATGTGAGAGGCATCCGCTGCTGCTCTGCCATCACAGGGCCTGGCGACCCCCACGCCGCCTCCTGCAGGGCAGGGCATCCCCCGCCCCCTGGCCTCCCACTTGCCATCACAGGGCACGGCGACCCCCTGCCACCTTCCCTTCCTCCTGCCATCGTGGGCCGGGTGGCCCTTCCCCCACACGCTCACCTGCTGACGCAGGCCCGGCCTGGTGCCTCCTACTGTTCTGCCAGCCCCACCTGGCCCCAGCAGCGCCCCTGGCCTGGGATCTAACTGGAGTCTCTCCGGCCCTCTCCTCTCCCCCAATCGTCCCGCACAGGCTATTCGCTGAGAAGATCAACAAGAACGAGCGGAAGGGGAAGGCGGAGATCACACTCCTGAGCCAGAGCCAGGAGCCGCCCGAGTTCTGGGAGGTGCTGGGGGGCCAGCCCGAGGAGATCAAGGCCAACGTCCCGGACGACTTCCAGCCAGCCAAGCCCAAGCTCTATAAGGTGGAGACCCCTTCCTGCTCCGCATGCCCCCCGGGGCAGCCTCTCTGTGGCAGAGGGGTGCCCGTGCCCTGTGACTGGGCTCTGCCTCGTCTCTGGCCGCCCCCCCTCATCCCTCTCCTCTCTCCTCGGCTCAGGTCGGCCTGGGGCTGGGCTACCTGGAGTTGCCCCAGATCAACTACAAGCTCTCGGTGGAGCACCAGAAGCGACCCAAGGTGGACCTGCTGCCGGAGATGCGACTGGTATGGCAGGGTGGGGCAGGCCGGAGAGGGAGGGGTTCATTCCACCAGGCTGTGTGCCATAGGCCGTGCCCAGCCAGGGTGGAGCTGTGCCCGCTGAGGCAACAGGGGCTGGGTACGTGGATGGAGGATCTGAGATTTGCCGGCCCTCTACCGCCTCCTCCCCCTGGCCCTGTTCCCACCAGGCTCTGGAGCAGGAAATGGCCTGGAGTTCAGGCCCTGCTCGCAAACTTCTCCCTATCGCTTCAGGAGTGGATGGTGCCCCCGAGCGGGAGAGCCAGTCCCTGGGGCGGGGCCCCCGTCTCCATCTCCAGCCCAGTGGGAGGTGGGGACTGTCAGGAAACCCCGTCCTTTTCGGAGCGGGGCGGGGGGCATCAGGGAGGGGATCTGAGCTCAGGCCCTGCTCCCAGTTGGAGGATGCTGCCAGGGCCTGGCCCTGAGGCAGGGCGAGGGGCCGGGCGGCTCTTGCTGTGCAGGAGAGTTACCTGAAGGTGCTGGGCTGGCAGCCTGTACGGCTCCCTCCCCCTCCTGCTTAGCCCCCAGGTCCTGCTCTGGGGTGGGGGGAGGGATCCCTGCAGGGGGCAGCCGCCCCGCCCGCTCCATTCCTCCTCTCCCGGTTGCTCCGCAGCTCCAGAGCCTGCTCGACACCAAGGCTGTATACATCCTCGACTGCTGGTCCGACGTCTTCATCTGGGTGGGCAGGAAGTCCCCGCGCCTGGTGCGGGCGGCGGCCCTCAAGCTGGGGCAGGAGGTGTGCAGCATGCTGCACCGGCCCAAGCACGCCATGGTCATCCGCAACCTGGAGGGCACCGAGTGCCAGGTACGAGGGCGCTGCGGCCCGGGCTCACCTTGCCCCTCGGGAGCAGCCAGGGGCGCTGTGCTGGGACTGGCTGGGGAATCCGGGTCTGGCCAGCTGCCGCCCTGGGGTGGCCCGACCGGTCTGCGGGGTGGGAGACGGTGTCCGTCGCGCTTCCCTTCTAGCCGTGCCGGGAGGGAGCCCCCTGGGAGAGGCTGAAGCGCCCCATGCCGGCGTGTCTCTCCTCCCCCCCCGCTGCAGGTGTTCAAGTCCAAGTTCAAGAACTGGGACGACGTGCTGAAGGTGGACTACACCCGCAACGCGGAGAGTGTGCTGCAGGCCAAGGGGCTGGCCGGCAAGGTGAAGAAAGACGCCGAGAAGAAGGATCAGATGAAGGCTGACCTGACGGCGCTGTTCCTGCCCCGCCAGCCCCCCATGGCCCTGACGGAGGTACGACGTGGGGGTGGGGGGGTAAATGAAAGACCCTCGGGGGAGTCATCTGGGCCCTTCCTGTCTGGGTAGGGATGGGCTGGGACCTTCTCTGCCAACGCCAATGCAGCTGCCCTAGGCTCCCCCTCCTGAGTCCTTGGGCACCAGCATTGTGGCCCTCCAGCTGGCCATGGGGCAGCCAAGGCTGGGGTGGGAGAGAGAGGGGGGGGTGGGCTGGGGCTCTGGCTATACCCCGGATCTCTCCTTATTTGGGAGGGGGTGTGGGGAAAAGGCCATTACAAGCCCCCCCTAGGACTGGCCCCAGGGTCCCCTAGGCTGCCATGCAGAGCGCTAACTGCTAGGCCAGCTTGCCGCCCATTGCAACATCCTCCTAAGTGTGCGCGTCTCTTGGCGTGCGACACAGGCGGAGCAGCTGATGGAGGAGTGGAACGAGGACCTGGACGGCATGGAGGGCTTTGTCCTGGAAGGCAAGAAATTTGCTCGCCTGCCCGAAGAGGAGTTCGGACACTTCCACACCCAGGATTGCTATGTCTTCCTGTGCAGGTAACACCCGCCCCTACCTTCTCTGGGCAGCTCTCGCCCCCCTCCCGCCGCCCCCTTTCTCAGCTGTCAGAGCCCCCGTCCCTCAGGCTGATCCTCTGCCAGCGGCCCCCCCAGCCCCCAAGTGAGCATGGCATGGGGCTGCTGGGTTGGGGAGGCCAGGAGAGCTCTGGGATATGGTGGGACTGGGGCTGCCCTCCCCCCACATCACTGGGATCCCCACCCCCTATGCTGACAGGTACTGGGTGCCGGTGGAGTACGAGGACGAGGCGGAGAAGAAGAAGAAGAAGAGCGGTGGCAAAGGGGATGGAGAGAAAGGGGAGGAGGACGAGGAGGAAGAGGAGGAGAAGCAGCCGGAGGAAGACTTCCAGTGCATCGTGTACTTCTGGCAGGGGCGTGAGGCCTCCAACATGGGCTGGCTCACCTTCACCTTCAGCCTGCAGAAGAAGTTCGAGAGTCTCTTCCCTGGCAAGCTGGAGGTGAGCTGGGAGCCTGATTTTTTTTTTTTCCCCCCCCCCCCCAGGGCCCACACCATGAGCTGGGAGCCTGAGCACCGCCCCCCCCACCACCTCAGCTCTCAGGACCCAGACTAGGAGCCCCAAGGCCCCTGCCCTATATATGCTCTCCCATGGGCTGGGAGCACCCCTTCCATACAGCCCCATGGCCATACCACAAGCTGGGCTGTAGCAGGCGAAATCCCATTCCCCAAGGCCATCTAATCTCTGCTGCCTGGGGCGGGACAGGACATTACGCGCCCGTCTCCCAGCTGCAGGGCTCAGCCTTGGTGCCAGCTCCCAGGACCCTCTGGGGGCTGCTGCCCACCCAGGGGGGGCCCCTCGAGCTGCCCTGAAGTCAGTGTGACACACAGGTGCTCCCGTTGGCTGGGGCAGGCGATGCCGACCTGCCCTGGCTAACAGCAGAGGATCCAGCCTGGCTCCTGCAGGAGCCCGTGAGGGTGACGCAGGCCCAGCCCCGTCCAGCTGGTGGCTCAGCCAGGTGGCTGGAGCATACGGCTGAGCCTTCCTGGGGTCAGGCGGGCTCCTGTGCTCGCCTGCAGGGGGCAGCCGGGGCAGGGTCTCATTTGCATGTAGGTACAGTAGCTCCTCGCTTAACGTTGTAGTTCTGTTCCTGAAAAATGCGACTTTAAGCGAAATGATGTTAAGCAAATCCAATTTCCCCATAAGACTTAATGTAAATGGGGGGGTTAGGTTCTAGGGAAATTTTTTTCACCCGACAAAAAACTATATACACACCCCGTATAAGTTTTAAACAAACAATCGAATACTGTACACAGCAATGATGGTTGTGAAGCTTGGTTGAGGTGGAGGAGTCAGAGGGTGGGATATTTCCCAGAGAATGCCTTACTGCTCAATGATGAACTAGCACTCGCTGAGTCCTCCAGGGTTAACACATCGTTGTTAATGTAGCCTCACCCTCTACAAGGCAGCAGAAATGGAGGGGGGGGAGACAGCATGGCAGAGAGAGACAGACACACACCCTGTGTGTGCGAGAGAGAGAGAGAGATGGGCATTGCCCCTTTAAGTACGCTGACACCACACTCTAAGTACATTGCCTTTAAAAAGATCAGGAAGTTGAGACAGCAACTGTGGCCAGCTCTCTCCGTCCTGAGCCCTGTTGTCTCCCCCCTGCTCTATATGGAGAAGGGGTAAGCGGGGGGGCAGGAGCAGGGGGGAGGGGGACACCCTGACATTAGCCCCCCTCTGCCCCCCCCCTGCACAGCAAGCAGGAGGCTCCCGGGAGCAGCTCCAAGGCAGAGGGCAGGAGCAGCACGTGGCAGTGGGGGGAGGGACAGCTGAACTGCCGGCAATTAGTAGCCTGCTGGGCGGCTGCCGCACAGGGAATTTAGGGGAGCGGGGACCTGATGGGGGGGCTGCCGGCCCACCCTGGTTCCATGCTCCCACCAGCCAGCTCCAACGGGCTGCTCTTCCCAGGGCTGCCCGGGGGGGGGGCAAGTGGGGCAATTTGCCCCAGGCCCCACAGGGGCCCCCACGAGAATATAGTATTGCAACTATTTTTTTATGGAAGGGGCCCCCGAAATTGCTTTGCCCCGGGCCCCCTGAATGCTCTGGGCAGCCCTGGCTCTTCCTGCAAGCAGCGGACAAAGCAGGCGGCTGACAAACAAGGTTATAAGGGAGCGTTGCGCAACTTTAAACGAGCATGTTCCCTAATTGATCAGCAACAAAACAACGTTAACCAGGACGACTTTAAGTGAGGAGTTACTGTACCCAGCATGCTTTGCTAGCCGATGGCTCTCTGTCCCTTGATGGGTCGGCACATGTCCCAGGGTCCCCTCCGAGTGTGAGTGAACTCCCCGGCCCTGGACGCCTCTAACGCCATCCCCTGGCACCCAGGTTGTGCGCATGACCCAGCAGCAGGAGAACCCCAAGTTCCTGTCTCACTTCAAGAGGAAGTTCATTATCCACAAGGGCAAGAGGAAGTCCAAGGACAACAGCCTGCAGCCCAGCCTGTACCACGTCCGCACCAACGGCAGCGCCCTCTGCACCCGGTGAGAGCCAGAGGAGCTGCTCTGCTAACTGGAGCCTCCTCCTTGGAGGGGTTGAATGGGCCGGCCGTGCTGGGGTAGGTGGGGATCCAGGCTGGGGCTGAGAACTCCTCCTCCTCTTGTCCCTTGCAGGTGCATCCAGATCAACACCGACTCCTGCCTGCTGAACTCAGAGTTCTGCTTCATCCTGAAGGTGAGCATCCCTGGGGCTCGCGTGCTGGCCCTGGCGCTCTGCTGTGGGCTCCGAGGGCTAGCACAGTCTCCAGCTGGGCCCGCTGCAGCGACGGCTCACGCCGCAGCCCCGGGTCCACACGGAGCGAGGACAAGGCGCCAGAACTTTTGTAGAAGTGGGGTGGCCAAGGCCAAAGTGCTCCCCCCTTTCCCCCCCGGCTGCAGCTGGCTGCTCCAGTCGTGAGCCCGCTGCCCTTTCTTCTGGCACCACAGCAGCCCCTGGTGGGCAAAAAGTGTAATTGCAGCGCCTCCCCAGCAGAATGGATTGTTCTGCGAGGGGTGGGGGTGAAATCTGTGGGGGACATGAATTCTGTGCTTTGTTTCTTTGGTTTAAAAAGTGGGGGTGGGCATGACCCCCCCCCCCCCCCGCCTCCCCCCCGTGCCGGTGAGCAAAGAGGACGAGGTGGAGTCCTTTGAAGCTTCCTGCTGCCACCCTCCTCGTCTTGACCTTGCTCCAGCACATGCCGCTCGTGGGCATCCTTCTCGTGGCTGGTCCAAGGAGGCGCCCTGCGTCTATGGCTGCCCTTGAAGGTGCTGGTTGCCTGACACGTCCTCCCCACAGATTATGGGCAAGGAGCATCTAAGGGAAAAGAGGAATGGAAGCCTCGAGCTTGGGGGAGGAGGGTGTGGGGCAGGATCAGGACCCTGCAGAGACTGGCTGGCAGAAGAACCTGGTCGGTGTCCGTGAAGCCACGTTGGGGGGTGACCGTGGGAGCATCAAGCTGCTCTAAACTCCTGGTTTAAGCCAAAGCAGCACCTCCTTCCGCCCTTCTCTCAGCGTGATTCCCCTGTCGACGGGGACTTCATCTGCTCCCATGTCTCCTCTCCTTATGCCCGGGCTTCCCATCCAACCCAAGGGCTCTGCTCCTGTCACCCTGACCCACGCTCCACTCCCCTAGGTGCCGTTCGAGAGCACCGATAACCAAGGCATCGTCTATACCTGGGTGGGCCGGGCCGCCGACCCCGAGGAGGCCAAGCTAGCCGAGGAAATCATGAACCACATGTTCGACGACTCATACAGCAAGCAGGTGAGGCAGGACGGAGCCTCTGTGGTCGTGGGCCGGTGGCTGGTTCTCAGTGGCGCTCTATGCCAGATGGGAAAGGCTGTTCTAGCCAGCACCGGCCAGCCACTACTCTCTCTGGGGTGCAGCCATGGAGAGCGGAGCCGGGGAGAGCTCGGTCCTCTCCCTGCCTCTGCTCCCAGAACCCTAGAGCAGGAAGTGACTCGGGAGTCGACTGAAACCCTCCAGCCCCCTGACCCCTCCACTCTGTGTGCCAGGTGATAAACGAAGGGGAGGAGCCGGAGAACTTCTTCTGGGTTGGCATCGGGGGCCAGAAGGCCTACGACGAAGACGCCGACTACATGAAGTACTCGCGGCTGTTCAGGTGTGTGCCAGCAACTGCTGTCCCCGGAGCCCATGGGCAGAGCATCCGCTGGGTAGACAGGTCCCTGGCTGGTCAGGGCTCCTGCCAGCCATTCGCTGGGTGCCTGTTCGAAACACGGGCTCGCACGTCTCCTCCTCAGCCCTGCTCAGCCTGCTCCTTAAGCCACCAGGGCACCAGGGTAATCTCTGCCTATTTGGGCTGGCCCTGGGGGGAGGAGACCCTAGGCACTGTGACATGCTGGCCACTGGACTGGTAGAGCTCGGGAAAATGTTCCCCAGGGTTCGGCTGAGATCTGACAAACTCATGGCCACTGGCGCCCAGGATTTACCCTGGACAGCCGGGCTGGCCCGAGGCAGGGCACGCCCCCTCGCTAACGGCTGCTTGGCTCTCCGCTCCAGGTGCTCCAACGAGAAGGGCTATTTCTCCGTGTCGGAGAAGTGCTCCGATTTCTGCCAGGATGACCTGGCGGACGACGACATCATGCTGCTGGACAACGGCCGGGAGGTGAGTTCCCGGGGCCTGGCGCCCCCGGTGCGGAGTGGGCTGTAGCCTCATGATTGTCCTCGGTAACTCTTCTGCATCCTGCAGCTGGGTCTAGGCTCCCTTGTAGGGAACCTCTCGCTGCAACCCCAGAGAACCCAGTCTCTCCCCCAGGACCTTCCAGGGGGGCTCCTGGGCCCAGATCCTCCCACTTCTAGTGGGTGTTCGATGCCGCATGAGGCCCTGCCCATGTGGGGCAGGGGATGAGCCAGGCCTGGGTGGGCTGCAGCAGATCTGCTCTTCCCGTCTCGCGCTCTGACCAGCGCCGTCTTAACCCTGCTGTCTTTGCTGTTCCCTGCAGGTTTACATGTGGGTGGGAACCCAGACAAGCCAGGTGGAAATCAAGCTGAGCTTGAAAGCTTGCCAGGTAAGGGCCGGGCCCAGGCCTTGGGATTGCCCCCTCCCGGGGCTGGTCTGGAGCATCTCGAAAAGCTTCCCTGGCTATGACTGAAGGCTGCTGTGAAGGGAGACACTCCTCCAGCCTCTGACAGCCCCCTGGGGGTGGAGGGAGTCTACTGCCCTGGCCCATAGTTCCTGGGGGGTGGGTCCAGCAGCTTGGCCCCTTCCCCTTGAGATGCTGCAGCATCTGCCACTAGCTCGGCCCTGACACCCGCTGGGGCCTGCGCCTCCACCAGCCCCTGGGGACAGAGCTCGGCCCCTGCGGGCGCAGCGGAAGACCTGTTTTGAGGTTCCAAAGCCCCTGGCTGGGAGCACAGCAGCCCTGGCTCCCTGGGGCCTCCTCCCGGTTTGTGCAATAGGAACGGAGCAGGATCTGGCCTTGGGGGGACCAGTGCCTGAGGCCACCCCTTCCCCTCCTTTCAGGTGTACATCCAGCACATGCGCTCGAAGGCGGCCGAGCACCCCCGGAAGCTGCGCCTGGTGCGGAAAGGCAACGAGCCCCATCCCTTCACCCGCTGCTTCCACGCCTGGGGCGTCTTCCGCAAGCCGCCCGCCTAAGGAGCCGCGGGGGAGCACCTGCCCTGCCGGAGCCGGCAGCCAGCCCATGGGTCCTCCGCAGCGTGACGCTTCCCCAAGGGGAGGAACAGAACCTGCCTCTGCCCTCCTAGGGCCATCTGCCCTCCTCTCCCCCCGCTGCTTTGCTGCTGCCGCCTCTCGCGCAGGGGCTGGTTCCTAGCCGGGGGCTTGGCCCGGAGCTGCCCTTCTCCCGGAGAGACACCCCGAGGGGCGTGGGGAGCAGCCCACGGTGCTGAAGCTATGTGACTAAAACTTCCCAGCCTGGCCTGTAACATGCTGCACCTCACCTGCCCTAAGGGGACAAGGCCCAGCCCCTCCGCTCTGGTACCAGCTCCTGGCGCTGAAGAGGGGCTCAGGGCTGGATCAGGCTGGGGCCCATGGCTGTATTGGGCTGATAAGGTTATTTCCTCCCCTGCTAATGTGCGAGGGGCTTTGGGTACTTTCGGCCAGGCCGCAGCTTCTGGTCTGACCCCAGCAGGCAGGGGCACGATTTGGGTGAGAGCAGGGTGCAGGGCCTGTAGGGAAAGGAGCCAAGCCGGGGCAGGGGAGGGAACTCGGCTCTAGGCAGGAGAGGCTGGGTGCTGTTATCTGGCTCAGTGGCGCTGGAGAAGTGGCTGCAGTTTCCTGCTGAGGGAATGCAGGTCAGCGCTGGGCCAGAGCCAGCTCTCACAGCGGGGAGGGGAGCACTACGGCCAGGCAGGGGGAGCAGTGGGTGTGATATCAGCCACAAGGCTACACAAGCGCCAGGAACCTCCCGCTCTCCAGAGGGAGGCTGTGGCTGTGTTTAAAATCCCTGAAGCAGCCGGCCCCTGTGAGAGCAGCGGCCTGGTGCCAGCCTGCACCTCACGCTTTGTCAGTCCCCACCCAGCCGGGCGCTGCCTGCAGCAGCCTGGCTCTTTACCCTCATGCAAGCAGGCTCTGGGCTCTGCCTGTCAAAGGCACAAGCCACAGTTTGGTACCAGCTTCCGATTGATTTTCCAGGGGCAGTAGGTGCCTTTCATCTCCCTTCCCTTGCCCCCGTGCTCTACGGCCTACGTGCCCATGGCCATGCTGCTGTGCCCAGCCCCTGTGAGGCTGCTGAGGGCGGGAGCCCCTTCTCCTACCAGCCTGGGGCTGGTTAGAGGCAGGCAGGGGCTTTGCTGCTGTCTGTTATACAGCAAGAAGTCACACAGCTAAAGCAGGGCGTGTAACCAGCAGGGATGTGCAGACACAATCCACACAGGCCAGCACCAGCTGGCACCAGCAACTGGCCCCTGCCCCCTGCTGACCCTTGAAGGCTGCTGCTGCAGTGAGCCATGGTGTGGCCAGTGCAGGCCACTAGGGGGCACTATAACACCAGCATGGGCACTTGGGTTTTAGCACAGACTTTTTCCTGCATGCTGCAGCTAGTGGAAGCAGCTGGCTGGACCCCCCTGCCCTGCGCTAGGACAGTGCTGCTTGCAGAGCCGCAGGAGAGGGGTTAAATCCCCCCCCGTTGGCGCACAAGGTCGAGAAGCACTTTTTGCACTCTGTGCCCCCCTCACAGTGACTGTAAGTGCCAGCTCTGTGCCTGGCTGGTGCGTTCTGTATCGTATCAATAAAGATTGCACTTCACCGAGCCTGGCCCCACACGCTCCAGTTTAACTTGTGGCTTCTCTGTAACTTGAAGTCTTTAAACGATGTGCTGAGGCCGTCAGTAACAGGGAACTGTTAGAGGAGTGGGATCACGGTGCAGCAGGTCACACTACAGCAGGGGTGGTGTCAAGGCTGGATCCCCACTTTGAACTTTAGGGTTCAAATGTAGGG